GTTGTAACCCCCCTGAAACTATGTTCTCTGTGTGCTTTGATGTCTGAAGTAACAGAGATGACAGTTCGGTTTCTGATGCCATTTTTCGCGTAGGTTATTAGTGTCACCGTGCACTTTACCAAGTGACCTAATTTGCATGACTTTTATTTTCCATAGGGGCACCGAATTCTTAGGAATATCACCTCAATTTCAATGGGCTGTAACGGAGACTGTTTTCATCATGGAACTGGTTAGTGTATTTTGTTTTACTTTAATAAAATGTTCTCTATTATCACCTTGCAGGAACATTATTCATCAACTTCCGCTAAACTGTTATTATCCTGACGATATTTCTATCCTTTTCGATCAAAATACATGACCAGATATAATATCGGCTTTTTTAACCAAACACATTTAGCAATTAGCTTTGTGACCGAAGCAGAAAACGAATACTTTTCATTTTTCTCGACGTTAACCCCACGAAGGGTTCAACTGGAAAGTTACACCGTTCGATTTTTCACAGAACTTTTCAAAGTTACGTTTCAATCAAATGTAAATACAATTTAATGCAATATCTGGCCTTCACTGTTCGGAATAGCTGCTCCCCGGAGTTACTGAAGGAAGAATTATGCAATTCATCGATGAATCATCATTGAAAGATTCACATTACACAAAGCAGTCATAGACCCAAAGGAAGAACTATTCATGCAGCCCCTCTCCACAAAGAAAATTTCAGGTGGTGATCTACTGAGAAGATGTCTGGAAAAAGCAACCACTCTACGAGAAACTTTTACAAAGTGTCTAAAGCTCTATACAAACTTTAGGAATAAACCGTCTATCCTCTCTTCAACCATGATTACGTATTCCTTCACTTGTACATGTTCATCTAGTAATGTAGGTTGAACGATGAGACAGTTTTCACGAAAGCTCAGAGAACATGAATCGGTCTAACTGAGAACGGGATGCCGCACTGCAGTTGCCTTGGCCTCGGCCCAACTTACGGGACGAACCGAATCATGACCTCAGTCTATGGTCATGATGACGCAACATGGCGATTCACGTCATGTGTGAATAGATAGATGGTGATTGGATATTTTCCGAAACGACCTTGCATTTCTTATGTGCTCCAATAGAATTTTCCATTGACCTGAATGAACCAATTGGGTTCGTTTTCGTCTTACACACAAATACACGCCTAAATATAGATCGGAATGTTCCACGTGTATTAAATGTCCTGAATGAAAACCACTGCTTCAAAATGATCATATTCAATAAACGATTAAACAGGTATGGTGTTTTCCCTGTTTCTAAATTCTCCAATAAATAATTTATTTGACAGAAAACTCCACTTGGTTACGAAATAACAATTGGTTTCTGAACGAGTAAAATTCCTTCCACCCCCGCCTAGATGTTTTATTACACCATCCTCGAAAGATAAATCAAGCCAGAAGCCAAGAAGTAAAACGGTGCGACGGCAATGACACTTTCAACAATGAAAATATATGAGGTCCACACACACACACACACACGTTTCCCGTTCTGTTTGCCTTGAATTTTCCTACTTCCCAGGCAACTCAGTTTTATTTTAGCAAAGGTTTTCACGTTTTCACGTCTGTGCTGCAACAAAATCCTCCCTGTGTGTTTTGATATTGGCGATTTTCGCATATTTGGCATGCTCGTGTGTGTGTGTGTGTGTGCAGTTAAGATCCCCACAGGTCTGGACTGGAGCCATTTCAGGCTCAGCGCAGCTAAATATCAGCTAAACGCTCATAGACTATGACTTTCCGATGATTCAATCGGGGAGTATTTGCCTTATTATATGGTTTATCCACTTAATTTTTGATCCTAGGAATGGGGGACGGTATGCTGAAGT